CTTACGTGTTAGACATCCTACCATACACATTTGAATAAAGTTCTGACTGATACATTTAAAAAAAAAAGCCCTATTATTTCAAATGTCTTAAGTGGAGATAGGGCAAGAAAAGAGTGCTCACTGAAAATTTGGTAAGAAAAGCTTTCCATTTGTTCAAAAGTTTAAAAACTTACTACACCCCAGCCTTACTTTGAGGCATCAAAATGCATCTGCCTTTTTTTTTTTTAAACTTATTTATGCTGCTTTTATTCTAATTTCTCATTTTAATAATTTTGGGGGGCAACTGTTACATAACTTGAGGGGGCAAGTATCCTTTCATTAGTGATAAGTGATTATCATTTGAAGAAAATTCATCAGCTGTAATACTGGTTAAGGAAGTATTTGAAATCAGTTAGTTTAAGCTTTGTTTTCCTCCAGCTTATTTCCAGTTAAGGGTATTCTTCCTCCTGGTACAGCATGTTGCATAGTGATGGTCTCCAAAATACTTTACAGTAAAGCAAACACCTAGTTTTTCCAATGTTGTTCAGTTTTTACAGATTCTCATGTTTCCTATTGTTACATGTATGTCTCCTCTGCATAGATTCATAGATGCAGTTGGCTAAAACCTGTATTTTGGTTAAAGCTCAAATTCCTAATTACCTAATACCTATTGGCACTGGTATTGGTTTATTAGGTAATACCAATTACCTAATCAACACAAAGAACTGCTGAGTCATTGCATAAGTACGACAACATGTAAGTTTTTTTTTCTAGGTCAGAGGATATAAAGCCATGTGTACTGGCTTTCTATTGCTGCAGTAACAAATTACCATACACTTAGTGCCTTAAACAATACACATGTATTATTTTACATTTCTGGGGGGCAGAAGTAAAAAAATGGGTCTCACCAGGTTAAAACCAAGGTGTTAGCAGGGCTGTGTTCCTTCTGGAGGCTCCAAGGGAGAATTTATTTCCTTGTGCTTTCCAGCTCCGAGACACGCACCCCTACATTCCTTGGCTCTTGGCCCCTACCTTCATCTTCAAAGGGAGCAATGCAGTGTCTGTCACTTCTGTCACTATCTTCAGCAGTCACATCTTCCACTTGACTCCTCTTCTGCCTCCCTCTACTTTTAAGAACCCTTGGATTAACTTTGGGCCCATATGAATAATCTAGGATAATCTCCCTATTTTAACATCAGCTAATTAGCAACCTGAACTTTCCTCTGCTTTGTGACCTAATATATTCATAGATTGCAGGGACATGGACATCTTTAGGGACCCATTATTCTGGCTATGACACCACAGCATTCCACTTCCATTTACTAACTTGAGTATTCCTGAAGCACTGTAGTTCTTCAATGCTAGAAAAAAAGAAGCTCTTGGGGAATAGCAGTATAAAAATTACTGAGAGCAATATCTTGCATTTCAGTTTTTAACCATGAGCTTTGATTCTAATGGGATGACTCCTATTCAAAGAAAGCTATGGCTACAGCTGGAATGGTCACTGCCACGTAACCATCTGCTCCTGGACACGTTGCCTGAGATTCCCAACTTGCGTTCTGGTAAACTGATGCCATGGAACATGGAGCCAGACTGTGGCCACCAGGATAAATGTCCAGACTCCCTGCAAGCCAAGTTGACTAGAAAGAGGGCCTTCTCCTTGAAATTTTGAGAAGCTAAACCCTCTTCAAAAATTGCTCTAATGATCTTAGAATCATTAAATTTGTCCAAGGCACTAAGCAATAATGATTTTTAACACACAAAAGCGAAAAGTTAAATCAGTGAATCAGTAGCCTAATCTTTTTATGCCATTCCTAAGGATTGACAGGTTGGTTGTTTTAACAGCTATGCAATGTTTTATATAGCTAAAGACTATAAATCCATATAGTCTGTCCATAAATAATCCAGCCATGTGATAAGGAAAATAGGGACATTTATTGAAGAAGATATGACACGAGAAATACTATACATAGGACAATGACACCTCAGCTGCCTTAGAAGTTTTGATCTTCTTGAGGAAATCTGGTTCATTGGTAGCGGTTCGAATCAAGTTATAAGCAACTGCAGCACGACGTTCCTTCTGTTCTGGTAGCAGAAGCGATGGAATGAATTTTGCCACAACATGTTTCATGCCAAGATCCTGCATCAAAATTTTGGACACAGTAGTTTTTGGAATCCCAAGATCAGCTTCTAGTTCATGCGCAGTCAGTCACCGACTTTTGCTGATTGCAGCCTGTACCATGTTCAACATTCTCAGGTGTTCTGCTTGTTGCAGGCCTTCCAGAACGTGGACCACTCTCAACAGATTCCTAACCATCTCTGAAGGGTTCATGCCACATTTGATTTGCAGTGCACTCATTGTGTCATCCCTGAAAGCCTTCCGAATCACCTGAATAGTTTCCAGGAGGAATGTTCAAGCTTAACACAAAATTGGATGCAGATTTGTTGCTCTACTTGCTCAGTAATTTTGAATATGACAGCCACACAGTACACATGCTCATTCAATGGGTTCTACCGCCTCCACTGACTAGTACAGTGAAATTGTCATTGTTCATGCATGCGCATTCCAGTCGACTCTCCTTGGTTGCCAGGTTAAGTCAATGTCATGCAAACCATTCTTGTTATATTAAAAATGGCTGGACTTTTTCCAGACAGATCTAGTATATGTACATATACATATATAAATATATATAATATATATACACACACATATCACTTTGCTTGAATGTCCCTCTGTGAATATATTCTATACATACTGTCTTGCAAGAATTTCATGGTTAAAGAGAATTGTTATATCTCAATCAGAACCAGAGAGAGTAAGAAATCTAGGTGACCGGCTGAAGGCCTATATAAGCTGAATTTAAATATGAAACCAAGTAAAAGTTTCAAGTTTGAACTTATGCCTGAATTCTGATAGACAAAATATATTTGTGATGATCATTAAGAGACAAGTTCAACCATCAAATGCTAAAATATAAAGTATATGACAGTTTAAGTAGAGTCAAATTGGCTCTAGAAATATATTGTTTTATGTGAGTCTCGTTTTTCAACACACAGTACGCAACGCCAATGTGAGAGGCAGTCATCTCTCATAGATAAACTGACACCTTCAATTTCTATCCTTCTCAACTGCGGACCCCCTCCTCTGCTCCCCTCTACACTATATCCAAAGCCAAAGTGCTTCTGAAAACTGTTCATAGTTCCTGTGGCTCTGCTGGGCTCTCCATCAGTATTTTAGCTCAACGTTGCTCCTTGGTGACATTGAAATGCGCCAGCTTTAAGTGAGACCTGATTGATGAAGGGGATATTATAGTGATCTAAGAGGAAATTTGTTCGCATAGCCCTTAGAAGAATTCTGAAAGCCTAGGCACATATTTTTAAATAACATCTAAACATTTTTAACATAAGTTAAAACACTTGAAAAAGGGGCATGATTTCCAACACCCTGCTACATATCTATGAAAATGTCAGGGCTGTAGATTTCACTCATTCAATCTACAGCAAATGGATGCCATACATCATAACTGCAAGAGCCAATCAACCCAATACACTTTCCTGTCAAAACAAGTCTGACGTTGTTTTCCAATCAAATATGAAGACAGTACTGGTGAAAAATCATCTAGCCTCTGAATGCTAAGTACAACACAGAGCTCTGTCATGTGCTCATCCCTTGGGTGAATGGAGAACATGAAAAAGAGAACTGGGAGGCATTATATGTATTCAGAGGGAGATCAATTTCAAAAAAGACACAGAAGTTGAAGATTTGAAAAATAAAACCCTTGAACCACTGGGAAGTCTTGGGTACGCCCTGTGCCCTAGGGTACTAGCCCAGTTTGGAGGCTGCTGGGGGAAAAAAAGAACTTAAATTCCTCTCTGAATATATCTAATGTGACGCAAATATAAGGTGGTTTTTCTAAACAAAAACACTGCGACTGCATTTTTTTTTTTTTTTTTTTTGAAGGATCCCAAGCCTTTGGAAGTATCTTAAAGCAAGTATCATTCTCTTCAAGAAAATGGAGGGTCAACAATGATAATCGTGCTTGTGTAGCCAACCTGGTATATTATTTTGGACAGTTCTGGCTTCCTAGGAATTGGTTCTACATTTTCTTTAGTCCTTAGCATGGGTTACTTTTGTTTGAACCCTCTGCCCAGACTTGATCATCTTTTAGTATGTATTGGACCCAGAGTAAATTAACCACCTCTCATTCTGAAGTTCCTACATTCCACCCCATGTCATTCCTGGGCCTTCTTGTTCATTTTCTGATTGGCCCTTTTAGTGCCAGAAGTAAGTATGTTAAAAACAAACAAATAAAAAAACAAAAAAACTACAATTGCCAGGGCTATCATGTTGTGCCAAAAGTGGAACTGCTTATGCAAACTAATGCAATATTATGTGGAAAGATAAGAAATCAGGTGCAAGTCACACTGGAAAGGCATTTTGAAAATCTCTATTCCCTAATGTTTCTGGGTAAAGGGTAGTAAGGAAATTACTGACAAAGGGCAAAAAAACAAAAATAACCAGATGCAAAAAAAAAAAAAAAAGGCAACTTTATTAGGCGCTTTCTCTTCCTTGTATGGAGGATTTTGGTCTTTGCACAGGAAACTCCAAGCAATTCGACAGTACCCAGTTTCCACAGTTGCTGCAACTTGATCCCACGATGGGCGCTCTGGAAAGCACCTTGGGAGCGAATGAGTCGGAGGCCCCTCATGATCAAGGTCGTCCAATCCACTTATTAAGTTGAGTATCTTTCCGTGTCACCTCTTAGAAGCATGTCTGTGTTCCCCTCCAAACAGCCCACCACCTGGCTGCACCCCACCTCCTCTCGAACTACAGCAACCAGGTAACGTGGGTGGTGCAGAGGGGCCGCCGCGGAGGCAGGCGGGCGTTAGACGCAATCACTGGGGAAGAGGCGAGGACCAGCGTCGGTGCTGGAGGCGTGCGCCCACAGGCGCTGGAGCACTCGCAAATACACTCAGGCTAAAGTGCGGGGCGGACGGGGGAAGGGAGACGGCAGCCTTACCAGATCTATGAACGTCAGGAATTTCCAGCTCCCTCCGTAGGTCTGGTGCGAGGGCATTTCGATGGCCTTGTAGTTGCACAGGATGGAGCAGTAGGACAGCAGGATCGCCACCCGCAGCACCTGACAGGGGACAAGCGCCATGTTCGCAGAGGCCTGGACTGGCTGAGCGGCGAGGCGCGGGAAGGGCAGGGCGAGAGGCGCAGTGTGCGCGACGGGTAGCCGGGCGCAGCAGGGGGCAGGGCGCGACGGCGCAGAACGGGGTGTGCCCGGCTGGAGCCTCGCGACCGCGAGTGCCCAGGCGACCCGCGCGGGCGCTATCGGTGGCCGAGGCCGGGTAGGCGGCGTGGCGTCAGCTCTTTCGTCATCTCCGTCATTTCTGTTCCAGCGTTTTCGGGCCCCGGGAGACCCGGCCGGGGGCGCCCCCTAGGCGTCCCCTAGGCGTCCCCTAGGCGTCCTAGGAGCTGCGGGGCCGAAGGGTGGGGCCGGATGGCGGGGCCGGGTCGGTGAGGGCGTTGCCCCCAAAGGCGACCAGTGTTCGGAAAGGGAACGCCCTCCGACGTCCCGGGGTTGTTGCGAGTGACAATACGGGGCGGGGCGGGAAGTCGGAAACCCTGCCCTAAAGGACAGGACCCCAGCTTCGACTAAGAGTTCCAGCTGGGGGATTTTGGGGGAAGGTTCCTGGGTTGAACTTCTTGGACAAATAGGGTGGTTGATGCTGCGGAACCCGCGGAATGTCAACCTGAGCACGGGTAGGGTGACTTGCTTTATTACGGATTGGATTTTTAGTGTTAGACTACTTACTGTTCATCATTATGAACTTCCGTTTTAAGTTCTATCCCAGTAGATAGACTTCCCTGCTCTTTCCCCAAGAGGTTTATAAATATCCTATTACTATATAAGAAGGCAGACTGAACTTTGGACAAAGAGATTTATAAATAAAAGCATATAAAGAGTCAGATAACTGTCTACACTACAAGACTGCATTCTACTTAAAGACAAATAATTCGACGTTTGGAAGTAAAACCCATGTGTGTAATTTAATACTAATCTTTTCAGGGTTAAACTGGTTTTGCCCTTTTACTTATTTATTTTTTCCTACACTACACATCCAGAACTTAATGGAAGGAAAATAAATATAAATTGGATTCCCTTTGCCTTCCAGTAAATGTTGTCACATCGGAGTTTCATCAGTCTGTGGGCAACATGATCACATTTTAGCCAACCAGAAGCAGAGGCAAATTATGAAAAGACAACATAGGTATTTCCTGTGGATCCATTTAAAACAGGTGTCCTCTCCAAATAGTCTCTGAGTCAGAGACTGTGGAGGGAGGGGGCAGGGAAAGCAGAGTGAAAGGGAAAATAGCAACTCACAAATGTTTGCTTGAAGTTTTCCAATCAAGCTCTAAACCAAAAGTAAGAAACCCAGTAGATTTTTAAAATTGGCCTTATAACTATGCTAGTAGAAATCATGTCACAAAAAAATTGGGATAATTCCAAAAAGATTCTACCAGCCTAGAACTATTCATTATTGATGATTTGTAGATTTCATGTAAAAGTTGGGTCTAATTTTTTTAATTGTTTCCATGCTACATGTTTGTAAGATTAAAAATTTAAAAGTAGGTCTGAAGATCTATCTTGCTAAGCCCTTCATAAAGTTTTATGAGTTCATGTGATAGCCTTTCAATTTGATGTGACTCCCTACCTTACAATTTAAAAAATCATTAGTAAGACTCCCTCCCCATCATTACAAAATATAAAAATATTTTCATAAAGCCACTTCAAATTTTATTCTGTGGTCAGTTTCTTTTTAAATAAATAACTATAGCACTCAAAAAAGTGTTTTGAGTCTATTCCAATCGGGTTGCCTTTCTTATCTTGTGATTGCCTAACTATGGTAAGATAGTGAGTTTTGTTGTGGGTTTTAATGAAATATTTGCATAAACCTTGACTCAAATATTTTATGGAGAATGTCAGTCCACAATTTTGGGAACTTCTTGACAACTATGTTTTAACATGTCTAGGTTGTTCTTTTTGTTTTGCATATACTGTCTAATCTTAATTATGTTTGAAGGTATTAATCTAGACATGGACTGCATTTTTACAGTGTAAAGAATACAATGGGTTATTGCTTTTAAAACTTCATAGGAAGTTATCCTTTTTGATAAACTGTAATACATTATTCACTGATAAATATTTACATGATGATTCCGTATCTGAGTTAAAGAATACATTGTGAGGGGAAATATCTATAAGTCACTTGTTTATCTTTTTCATTCCACCACAGAATTAGTGGGGATGGAGGAGAATAGCCTTATCCTGGTGAGTTTCATGGAAACATGTTTCCCAAAGGAATATTTTAAGACCCTGTTTTAGCTTCTAGGTACATTAGTGTTTGGTTTTTTTATTGTAATAGTTCTTATTCTTAGTCCGTATATGGGCTGAAAGTATAGTTCCTTGAGTAATTCTAAAAACTGATACTCTTTTTTTTTTTATTTTTGAGGGAGGGTGTCTGACATGTTAGTGATGATAATCCTCACTATTTTTGGAAATGACAGGAACCCCTGCGTCTCCCTTATGTTGTATTCTAAGAAGCCAACTTCATATAGCCATGGGCCTTTGCTTAAAAATGTGGGAGGAAGAATTTTTTTGTATATCCTTACAATATGTTATGTTTATGTATTTCCTTTGATTCTGTATTTACATTTGATAAGCATTTTCTAACAATATCAATATATTTGAGCAAATCATTTTTCCTCTTCACATTTGTCTGTATCACAAGGTAGAAGTTGGGCTATGTCCCTTTGAGAGGTTTGGGCATCAGAAAAACCCCTTCATTATCACAAAAAAATACAGCTTTGAGTCGTTTAATTTTTCTTCATTATAAAAGTAGCATATTTATGATATTAAAATAGGAAAGCTTCTCACTAACCAAAGAAAACACTGCGAACATTTCAGCATATACCTACAAGTCTTTTTACAATATTAGGGGTGGTAAAAAGTATACATAAAACAGAGTTTATTCTCATATTACTATTTTTTATTAATTAGTATAATAATAATAATAATTATTATTATTATTATCCTGCTTTGGCCCTCCCCTTTTTACTTAGCTTGTGACATACTGTGTAACAATTTGTACCATGCAGATTTATTTTGCATTAAATTTAATTAAAATGTTCTCATTATTTAAAACTCTTTGTAAAATTGTTTAACGATTACATAACATCATAATTTGAACATGTTTTGCTTAAACTTTTGTCTGTTTTTAGGTATTTAGCTTGTTTCCAGCTTTTTATTCCTACAAATACACTGTAATGTCTACCTTTTGAGCTGAGAAGGCCATTCTTTTAAGGATTATTTGTAGCTTAACACCAATTAAGAAACCACCCTTTTATAACCTAATGTGTTATAAACACATTTTTCATACATGTTTATATGAATAGAGCCAAGTTGAGCTCTCGTGCCATAGAAGTCAATTCGAAAAGACAGATTTAAGTGAAAGAAGTAGGTAAAAATCACTTTTTTCTCAAAACCTTATGCTCATTACAGATTTTTTAAATTGCCTTAGGTATGAAGCTCAGTGCCAACGCATTTAATTAGTCAGGTTTTTTTGTTTTGTTTTGTTTTGTCTTTTACTATTAACCAGGAAGAGCTGTTATTTATAGGCCAATGAGCAGCATCTACTAGCAGCTGTGCTATTGTTGCTGGCGGCAACAGTTTCTGCTGATTTACAAATGGACTGTATTTGCCATAGGGAAGTCTACTCAGTGAGATTTCTAAGTACCAAGGATTCTGTGGAGAGTCATGGAAAAGCTTTAGAGAAAGTAGTGTGGGGATTAGGTAAGAGTCACCGTCTAGAGCTCATACAGATCGGAAACATCCTCCCATTGCCCCGAGTCTTTCTGTGCCTTTGCCCATGCTGTTCGTCCTGCTTGAACCCTCTCCCTCTCTTCACGTGCACATACCCAGCCAGACCCAGCACACCCGCAGGACTTGGTGTAAATCCACTTTGACAGACCCTCTAGGACATAGGATGTGTTCTTCCTGCTCCAAACAATCCACATGGATGGCTGACCAGTGATTCAAATTCTACGTGTACTCATTGAACTCATTATTTCCTCTTCAGAAATTATCCTTCTGGAGGGTTCCCAACTTCTGGAAATTGCACCACGCTGCTGTACTTGAAATGTCGGACAGAACTAGGTGCCTGGGAGCGTCCATCTTTTAAGGTGCTAAAATATCTCTGGAGGTGTGGCAAGTTGAAGGGAATCCCCTTACCAAAATCCTTTTCAAGGAGGAGACTGTGTTTTAAATAAAAGAAACGTGTTCATAAGCTACTTTGCTGGATGGGGTAACTGGTGAAGAGAGACCTCCTAAACCATTAGAGAATTACACAAATCATTGCTAAATTTCTTCTCCCCAGTGGGTGTCAGGGTAATTGCAGGGTTTCTGTTTTGCTGAGTAGAGTCTGTACATGAGTTTGTTACTAAAACTCGCTTGCTCTGGGTAGTAGAGGAAAGGTGGGCCACCGCCACCAGGGGGCCTTCCCCACAGGCGTCTGCCTCTAGCCTGAATGAAAGTTAAACATAATCAAAAGCTGTTTCAGAGGTCCTAAAAGCCAGTCCCTTCAGAGAACAGGCATGTATTATAGCTAAGTCAAGCCAGAAATAAGGTAAGGGCATGGTTGGCTCTTCAACAAACTAGCATAAATGCCCTACCTAAATGCATTTTAATTCAAATTTTTAAAAAATGTGTCAGCCAAAAAAGACCAAACAAACAAAAAACCACACCTGTGTGCTTTAGTCAGCTGCAGACAGAAACTTTTGGATTACCCTTTTGAAAGAGTGCTACACGAACACCTTACCTTGGGGTCCAAAAGGCCCCATCACTCACTCGTCACCACCATTGGTAAGAGTGAAGATTGCTTTGGTTGAAGTTGACAACCCTCTTCCTGGAAGTAGAATGGAAGAAATCATGAAGACAGGTCGAAAGAGCACATGTACACTGTCTCTGAAGGAAAGTTTGCCGAGGAATCTGCCCCACACCCATTCTACACTCACCTCACTGGCCAGCATCCTTCCACATGTCCAAAACTAGGGAAAGCAGCCTCCATCCTAAGCCTGCTCAACCCAAAATCAGGGCTCCATTTAAGGGAAGGCGGATATTATGGGTTGAGTTGTGTTCCCCAAAAAGATATGTTGAAGTTCTAATTCCTCAGAAAGTGACCTTATTTGGAAATCGGGACATTGCAGATATAATTAGTTAAGAGATGATGTCATACTGACATGGAGTAGGTCCCTAATCCAAGATGACTGAGGTCCTTATAAAAAGACAGAGACACACAGGGAGAATGCCACATTGACAACAGAGGCAGAGATTGGAGTAATGACAAGCCAAGGAATGCCATGGATTGCAGACTGTCATCAGAAGCTAGGAGAGAAGCCCGGAATAGATT